TTGTTGCGTATCGTTCGATCGTGCGCGAGCTGACAAATTACTTCGTGTCTTGAATTAATCGAATAATTAAATAACAAACAGGCGAAAATCTCGAGCACGACGAAGATGTTCCGCGATAACAGTCAACGACAGTAATGACAACAGTAATGGGAACTGCGGGATTCAGGCGGTATTTGATCAGGTTGGTTAGGGTCGTGAATAGAAATAAGCGGCACGGCTGTTTCTGTTCCCATTCTACTCAGCGCCAAATTTCACTGCTCTCTCTATTATCCTTTCATAATGCTCCTTGTTGACAGAGACAGCTTTAAACGGCGCGAGAAAAAGCGCACGGTGATTTCGTTCGCGTAACATTCTCAACGTTTCACTTCTTGCATCAGTTAGATTTGTTCTACGATACTACAAACGCCAGTTGATGTTACCGCGTTCATCGAACGATGTTCGCTCGATATTGTAAAATTTCTAACAATATTTGCGTAAGATAACGGGAAACGCAAATGCCGTGCAGTTTCTACAAATATCGCATATTCGTCTAAATAAAATCTGCCCGTATTTGGTAATAAATACATTTCATTTAAACGTACTTGTACATTCAGAGTTAAGTATTTTCAGGTTTATTCAGATTTTTATATCGAATAGATGATAAAATTATTCTTGGAACAATTTGAATAAACATCGATGGAAAAGTATCAAGCAATCATTGACGATGCATTTGAAGCACCCTATAGATTCGCATCCTTCTGACTGCGAGGCGAGCCGTGGCAGGACTCGATTGTGTGTATAGAGTAGCAGGATTCACCTCATCCCTCGGGCTACCGAAATCCCGGCGTGAATGCATTACGCGTCAACGAACTCGGAGTAGCAATATCCTGAGTTGCTGGATGTTAGAGTACGAGGATTATAATACATTACCAATTCGACGAACGCCTCGGCCATTTGACCTTGTTTCAGACTTTATTTCGCGTGTCTGTCTTGTACATTGGATTTCAACGGTTTTATCGGTGCACGGATGCGTAACAAAATGTGATTTTTATTAAACCATCGTCCTTCTCCAAACCAACGAGACGTGACCCATCGAATTAAATTTGCTATTGCAAGGATTAGTGTCGTTAATTTTACCGAGACGTGGATCGTACTGTGCGAACCATTTTTTTTTTTTTAAATAAACGAGCTTCGACGATGCGATAATATTTTGTCGCGAATTTTTCCAAATATATGTAAAATATACGTATACGTAGGCTACGTGTACCTACGTAGTATGTATTACATAGATGATCGTTGATACTAGAGAAGGCGAGGGGTGAAAAGGGGATGCTGAAGTTCGGTAGCTGGAGACACTTGTCAACGGCAGGCAGGGGGTCGGTTTCAGGGGTAGATCTAGACGACGACTCTGTAAATATTGTAACAAGTGTGCCGTCGTTGCCACACGTGGCATTGATGTGCTTGGTTAATCGATTGGTCCATCGAAAATTTTCTGTTTTAATCGTGGAAATATTTCTGCGTATCCTGATATCGTATAATTGTAATTTGCAAGCGTACTGATAAATTATTTATTTTCATTTTATTTTCATACGCCGATGTCAAATATCAAACCGATTGTATTTTGACTAATTGTTTATTCGTTGATCCTCTTAGCCATCATTAATCTCGCACACGTTTGATTTATAATTTATCTCAATACCATGAAATTCTCACCTTGCTTCGTACAAGCGTGTACAACGCGCAGATACGATGTAGAGACGATGGAGAATGATTCAGACGTCAATGAAAAATACGGCCATTCTTCGTCGTTCCTCTGTTGATTTTCTCATCTCGTCGATACACAGTTGTCGTTTTCACACTTTCGCCATTTCGTTGAGCAAACATGGTCCATTGTGGATGCGCTGAATGATACTTCTGCCAGGCACATTTGCCGCCTGTAGAAAAGGACTTTGTTCAAGTGGATTCTTGCAAACAATCGAACCACAATCTGACGAACGATGCAAGTACCGTGACGAATATTAAAAAAAGATAGTTTTCTTCTCATCGAATTTACCAATCTTCGCTTCCTCGTCCTATGTAATCCGGAAGTACGTTAAAATATTCCAGACAAAATATATATAGAAATCTTCGCGTACTCCTGCAAGCAAATTAGACTATGGTCAAAGCAGTTCTATGCAGTTTCAAGCTCAATGCATGTAGATATACGCTTGATACACAGACGCAAGCTACCTGTCGCGTAAAGCCACGAAGTGCGGCGCGAAACATCGTCGTCCGCAAGCTCATCGAACTGATACCTATTCGTTCGACCGTGACGATTATCGGGAAAGTAGCGTCACGCATGTTTCTTCGTGAATATGTAAATTAATTTGTCCTATTAGCCAGCTCGGGTGCTTGGTCGTGCTTAAACATGCGCTCGCGTTGCACCACGAAATTACGTAAGCTGGTGCATCGGAGGCGAGCACCAGTCCGTCTAAGGATATGCACCCTTGTGCTCTCGCTATGAAATAATCATATGGTTAGCTAATGGCAGCGCTGGGGTAGCGATTGCTCGGCTGCTGCGGCCTCCATAAGGCGCTTGGGGAGAGTAATAAATAAATTCAATGTATTTGCTCGAACCCCTCCGCAAACATTCAATGATAGATCGGAATCTTAAGGGAGGGGGAGCGATGATGCATGGGCCAGGCCCTCGTAATGGTCAGACGTGCGTGAAGATCGCAAGATCGGATCTTTCCGTGCTTCTTGCGAATTGGCTGGCTATCGCGTAACTGGGCTACGCAATTGCGATCCACAGATGGCCGATTTTCATTCGTAATCGTTCGTAGCATAGTTTATGGAGTGACACCTCTTTCGTGTAATCGGATCATCCACGGTCGACTTTAATTTTCGAGATGCGTCGGTAGACTTAACGATTCGACTAATAAATCTCGTAATCGTCGGTGAATCGACGGATTGTAAATCGTAGAGTTCTGTGGTACAAGCAATTTATACAATTTTACGAGTTACAAATTATGTATTGTTCATTTTCCAGAGAAGTCATCCCTATCGGTAGTCAGATTTTGCGGTATCGTTTACGTTGTGGTGCAATCATCAAGGAAGCTACGAGGAAAGTAAATTAAATAGCAAAATGTATGGGTCATAGGATGATGGTCTTGTTGGTCGGTTCTATCGACTTTGCGGAATGCCAAGCAGCACGAATCGGAGGCGGATCAACCCGCCCGAGCAGAATTATTACATCCTGCAGCAAGGACACGGTCCCCTTACAGACTATCATTCGTGTTATTATAGGTTAAGAGGGTGTAGCTACGATTCGAGCGATTCTAATCCATGCGCGCATCTCGCTGCATTTTATTAGCGTATTTACCGAATCCCTCGAAGTACCGTCGAAAGTATCGGTATTATCGGCTGTTCGTGTTCGTCCATTACGCTCGTCGCTTCTATCATCGGAATGACGGAGCTTAAGCGCCTTTGCTTTTATACGTATCGATGAATTATGCAACAACAATGTGAATCAGTGTTGGTCCCAGCGTCCTACTGCCCGGTACTTTTCCACCCGCTTTATTAATATCGTTATATTTCGAAAACAAGCGAAACTTATTCCCGGTATTTGCCGATGTACACGTTCCCGGTTAACGAGATAGAAGGACAGAATTTCCACACGTTTCATACTGAAATTTATCAACGCGTATTGACAACATTTATAGAAATATCGAATGCAAATATCGCAAAGAATACGTACACGTTACGCGTCTGTATAACGTGCCACGAGTCCAAGTTCGAGGTGTCGTCGTCGTCCTGACGCCTTTTCGAAACGCTCTCCTTCGTAGCCTCGTAGCTTACAGGTCCACGCACATTCCATTCTTAGGTTTCTCGGTTAAGCGTCGCTTTAAACGGACGTATCTTCAATCGTGTGTAATTAATAGGTAGCCTAACCCCCGGAACAAGCCGAATCGTGACATATCAATCGAGCAACTATGGCGGCAGGACCGTTTCATTATCGAGTCTGGAGCAAGGGTTGCTCTTTCTCTCGAAAAGTCCCCGTGGCATAAAGAACGGGAGTCCGCGGAAGTGTGCGTGTCGAGTTCAGTGGCGTCGGATTAGCTTGCAGCTAGTTATGATTAGAGGAGACAGTTGGCCCTCCACCGGACTACTTCATATTCGAATGCTGATCGGCGGCAGGCGAGCGTAGCCCAAGCATGTCGGTGTTTCGGTGGAAAGGGGGCGGCGATAATACGCACTGACAGCCGCGCACCCTCGACAACCCGGTCGCTGGGGGGTCACGAGTGAAAGGAAGGGCGGATGGGTGCCGTACGAGAAAAGAAAAACATATACAACAACCCGATAGAATGAGCATCGCATGCGCCGACGCTTGTTCCCTCTTCTGCCGGCTTGTGCGCGCAGAATTACCCACTGATGTTATAATCCTCTCGTGTTACGCCATCGCACATGCTGTCCTGTAAGCAATACATTGTTTTTTTTCTTCTGTCTCTCTACCGAACGCGCCTCTTTTTGCCTGTTACGTCCCCCCGCGACGGTTTATGACGCCAAATCTATCGGAACCCATATGCACACTTTGCCGCCGTGAACGAGAGACACGGTGTCGCCTGTTCCGTTGTATACCGATCGGTGTACACTGCGACAAGTCTTTGTCGAATCGAGACAACCGGAATTAACGAACGATCGACGTAACGATAGCGTTGCCTCGGTGCGAATGAACGTCGCCAAAGAATCGAACACATCGACGACGAGTGACCAACGCGAGATGACAGCTGTACTCGCAGCTTTGTTTTAAAATCGTTAGTCGAGAGTTTAAAGTCTCATTCGCCGACGCTTTGTACTTTTTCCCAGTTATTTCTCAACGTAGAATAATCTCTCGTCGATATGTATGCCATCCGCCCATATATCGTTGCGTTTTATCACGATGGACGAGTTATGATTTATGCTTGCCAGGGTACGTTACACGTGGCTCAAGCTACTACAAATAGCAGAGTTGGTAACAATGTTAAACGTTATCGGTGTTTCAGGTACTTGGTAGCAGGTGGATTGGTAGACCGAGTGTTTCGTCACAGTCGAGCTCTGATCGAAACCGACTTTTTCCTGGACCAGGACCACGAATCGCCAGTCTTGTCGTCGTCGTACGATCTACTTTATCGCATCTGTTGCCATTTAAAGAAATCAACGGATCAAGATGTGGGGAATATTCACGAGGGCAACAACAACGTCGAGCAGACCAACGTCGAGTCGCATCTTCTCTCGACGCTGGCCTCGGCCGAAGCTGCGGGGGCGATCGGTGCACTTTACGCTGCAGTTGCACTCACACCGCAAAATCAGAAAGGATCCTCTCCGACCCCTAATCAGATTACGGTATCCCAGCCTATGAGGATTCTGATCGTTCGCAGCCTTAGGCTACTTAAATCGATCGCAGGGCTGAACATTCAGAAATTACAGGTAGGTGTAACCTCGACGTATCTTTTAACCTGTTACTGTATGTTTTGTCCTTTCGAGTATTTTCAGTAGCATAAAATTTGTGCAGGTAAAATTCGCTTTAACAACGTGGACTCGAAAGAAACATCGATCGAAAGTGGTTCATCAAATACGTACGAAAAGCCTGTCTATTTGTTTTAAAAGGGAACGATGAAAAGTATCGTGCGAGTGTTAACAAGCGAGGAAAGCTTAACTTTATCCGTTTCCCTGACCAATAGGACACGACGTTTAATTAATTAACCACCGTTTGATGTAGGGGAAAAGACAAAGGATCCGCAATTAACTCCTTCGCTTTGTCTCACGTATCAACTGTAACCTTTATTTTAACCGCACTCTTTATCTTATACCAACTGCAAACTTTGAAAATGTAGTTTCATCCTATCGATCAAACGGCGTTAATCTATCGTTTCGATTAGCGTTGATCTAAGTCTCGAGAAAGTGAAATTTTCCATGGCTGCAGAGATTAACGAAATTTTATGCGGAAAGTAAACTTGGATCGTTGTTCTCTCGATCACCGTAGTATCCTCTTTATTAGATGATCGAGTACCGCAGAAAGTGCAATAGAGATATTATATGTATATATCGCGTGTCGTAGGGGTTCGCCTGTCAAGATAGAAAGGTCTCCCGTGTAGTCTGCAATGGTCGAACCACGAATTGAATCGAAAGCTCGCGCCCCCGTCCACAAAAACCATAAGGGCTATCCAGTGTCCCATTGGAGAGCCTGCTGAGTCTCATGGGGCACCGCTTCGATTATCCTTGTGGTCCACGCAGCCGGCGTTTGTCGAAAAACCAACGTTTATTATCTATTCTCTTTGACTTTCTGACAACCGAGTCTGGCTGTTCTTTAATCTCCGCGGGAGTCTGTCTCTTGTTGCGTTTCAAAGAGATCCGTCTCTTTGCGTAGAGGCGATGGTTTAAGAATATTTCCCGATACGTCCGACGTCTATCAATCGCCCAATCGCGCGATCGTTTTGGAACCAAGTTCCGTGAAAATTTTGAACAAATTCTCCCAGTTAGACTGTAGACAATTTCTTTCAGAGCGCAAATCTTCTGATTTCAGAATCTCCTAGGAGCGGAAGGTACCAACCTGCAATGGCGACTGATAGCTAGTCATGTGATAACCCGATTATCACGAGATCCAATATCGCACAAGTCGGAAATTGGATCTGCGCAGAACACTAGTGGTACTTACATCCTGTCAGAACTGTTCCAGGTTCTGGGATATTTTGCAGTTAACAACCCGGAAAATCAGGTAAGCCTGCGCTCCGAAAGTGTTCTCCGAATTAAAGTCATTTCGCGCAATTTCCACGACGTACGTGTTTCTTAGCGTGTAACATTAGGCGAAATAAATTCTCCAAGCTCGTAAACACGTTGAACGTCTACCAACGAGCTCGTTGCAATCTCGAGCTCGATTCTGAGAAAGTTTCCAAGATCATCCGCGGAACCGCAACGATTCCGCCGCATCCCCGAGCCAGGGGAGAAAGCAAAGCTGGTAACACGCATAAATCGTGTAACGAGACCGTCGTTGCCCCGGATGGTCCCCTCGCAATTCACCAGCCGAATCGGCCGGCAGTTAAAGGTTAAAAGCGTTTTTCCGCTAGTTTCCCCGTCCCATATCGGATGCACTTTCGGCAGGCAAGCGCAGACAAGCAGCGGACCTTCTTAAAAAAGGCGGCGAAAGACGAATGCGCGACGTCGTCGGTGCACTCAACGCTACACATCCCGATGCATCCAGCACGCGCTGGATTGATGCACCCTCCTTGCCGGCTCGGCGCGGCCCG